ATTAATTAGTGGGGCCCCCACCCCCTCCCCCGCACTGTCACTCAAGAGACCTCCTTCATTAGTTCTCTAAAAGGCTGCCATGAAAACTCCCGCGCCAGCGCGTTTGCCCCCCACTCCGTCTCTCGCTCCGTCTTTTTGCCCCTTTTTTTCGTCCTCTATCCCTCTCGTCGTCCTGAAACAAGGAAAGCGAATTCGCGCAAATGAGGTGAAGTGGCAGCCGGCAGCCAGCGGGGCCTCGGCGGCGCGGCCACGGCAGCGAGGCGACCCTGCGGCCCTGCGACCCTGCGACCCTGCGACCCTGCGACCCTGCGGCAAGCAAGCAGCAAGTCCCAGAGGCCGGAGGGCCGGAGGAGACGGCAATCCGCAACCAACTAGCAACAACAACAAGCTCCAAACAACGACACACTGCGAAAAGAACGCGAGGAAGACGTCTCGGCATGCCTGCAACAAACAACAACAACAACAATGAACCAGAAGTGCGTGACGCACAAGGCGGTGGCAGCAACAACATGGCGCGTCGAACTAGCGACAACTAGCGAGTGAGACAGAAACAATGCCGTGTTGCTGCGCTAGCTGCGCTATGCTCGCTGCGGTGTTCCCTTCTCCCAGCCGCCCCCGGATTGTCCCCCGCCACTCCCACTTCACTGAGAGCTTTGCGAAACTAACCAACTAACTGGAGAAGTCTTCATTTCTCTGCTTGATTAACTGTCTTTCCGCCTGCCTGCCTGCCAGCCCTGGCGGGGCGGCCGTGGGCGGCAGGGGCGGCCCGAGGGGTGGAAGCAGGAGGGGGTGGCAGCGCTGGCAGCCCTGCCAGGGTATTAGAGATAAAAGAGAAGAAATGAGGGGCGGTACGAGAGTCCTCCATCCCTGGCGTCCCTGCCGCGTCCCTGCCGCGGCCGACCACACTGTCGGGCAGCCAGCCAACCTACCGGCACAAAAATTCAATTTTAATAAAAAACGTTTTTCATCATCAAAGGGAGCAACAAGGCGCGTGCTGCAGCAGACGACGCCGAATGCTTTCCGCAACAATCCGGGCGGCATACGTCACTCGAAATTTACGTACAGCAAAAGAAAGGGATCATTTTCGTTTTCTTTCAAAATTTATCGTTCTGATGTGGTATATGTAGGGTGAAAATTTTAGCCATGTCAGATTTAGTTGGAGTGGATTTGAACCGGTATGGAGTTTACCGCCAACGAGGCGCTGGGCACGTGCGCGCCGTGGAGCGCACCCTCCACTTGTGCTCACCTGGCTATCTTCCCTCTATCTGTCCACCTCTCTCTCTCTCTCTCTCTCTCTCTCTCTCTCTCTCTCTCTCTCTCTCTCTCTCTCTCTCTCTCTCTGCCGATTGTTTTGCGTCGCGTGCTGCTGCGGTGTCCAGGGGTTATTCCACTTGGAGAGCGATACCGATTTCATCGAGAGAGAGAGAGAGAGAGAGAGAGAGAGAGAGAGAGAGAGAGGGGGGAGAGAGAGAGCATCAAAGCCAAGGGACCACCATTTTCCCCAGCGTGTTGTTTTTTGTTTTGTTTTTTCAAACGCGCCAAATTAGGAGAATGGGTTGGAGAAAAAAAATTGTGCTATATTTGATGAGTGGCGCCAGGCCGCCAGGCCGGAGCGGCTGCTTATATATTCCTTTTCTTGGAGGCGTCAGCACGTCGGGCCGGACTAGACCACTAGACACGCATCAGACATTAGAGCCATAAAAATCTAGAATTATGAGGTAGCGGCATCCTGGCGGCGAAGGCCGCGTCGCTACGCCCAGAGTCAACAGTCTGTCTGTCCGTCTGTCTGTCCGTCTGTCTGTCTGCCCCTCTCTGGTGGCGTGGCGACTCCCGGGCTGGGCTGACCGTTGTCCGTCTCTAAGAGTCCCTAAAGGTATGATTCAGGCTGGCGCGAGCTGGCGTCCCGATGTTTATTTGCATTCTAACGAGCGAATCGGCCGGTGAGTCGAACTCGGCGCCAGACTTGACTACAGTCAGGCTTATACCGAAAAGTGGTTCATCACTCTGTCTCTTTCGCACCCTTTCGGTACGCTCCACGAGAGAGACTGCCTCTAGTTGTGCAAAGTCGGCCGGCCTACCTGGCCGCCGTAGCGCCGCAGCCACTACACCGGCGGCTCCATCGCCTAATGGGGCGCAGACAATCAGATAAACAAGGAAGGGTGCAGGCCGGGGGAGGAAAGGGCCAAGGGCCGCGAAGGGAGCGCTGCCTGATTATCGGGGACCTGTCCCGCGGCCTGCGCTCTGTCTCTCTCGCACTCGGGGCTCGTCCCGTGATCGTGCGAGAGAGACAGAGCGACGAGGCGCTCTGCTCGGAATCAGCGCGCCGCCTCCTGCCGGCGTCCCGGCGGCGTCCCGGCGTCCCGAGGCCAAACACTGCGAAAGCCTGACTGCGTTCGCTGGTTCCCCCTTCTCTGTCTCTCTCGCTCTGGCGGGGCGGACGGCGGACGGCTCGGCGGTCGGCCGTGACTGACAGGGCCTCGGCCGCCTATCTCCGGCCTGGAAAGGCGAAGATGAAATGTGGAACAATCGAAGGCTGATGCCGCGGCGATACTGCGGTGTGTGCTCGCCCTGTTTTGTCTCTCTCTCTCTCTCTCTCTCTCTCTCTCTCTCTCTCTCTCTCTCTCTCTCTCTCTCTCTCTCTCTCTCTCTCTCTCTCTCTCTCTCTCTCCGCAGCTCGGCCGCGCACAAGTACCGGCCGATCCTTACCGCCTCGCAGCCTTACGGACCAGGCCGGCCAGACCGAGCAGCCAGCCCTGCCCACCGCTCGCATGCTAATTGGCCGACAGACAGTTGTTGCAGCTGATAGAGGGATTATCCCAGGCAGGTGGAATCACTGATGGCCTGCTTGGCCCGGGCCCGAGTTGCGCGCCCCGCCCCGCCACGCGTCGCCCACGCTATCACCTGCGCCATCAGCGGGCCTGGCGGGGCCGTGCGCCATGCCATCGGGCCGTGCCATATGGGATGGACCTAGACCTCCCATTCTCATTAGCCCAGGTGGAGGCAAGTGTATGCACGACAGAGTAGCGCTCGAGGAACATTGGCAAGATGGCGGCTCGGCGTCCTTCTTACTCTTATCGCCGCCGGGCACCCCGCCCGACGGACGGCACGGCCAGCCCGGCCCGGCGCGGCGCTGGCGAGGCTGGCGAGGCGAGCCGGTCGGGCAAGTCTCAAGGCGGCCGGGCTCAGTTGCGGGGCTCTTGTGGGCGGGCCGGCCGGGCGCCTGGGGCAGCAGCACGATAAGGCAAGGGTAGCGGGCACGGCCGGCACGCCCTATCTGCCCCCGCCACCCCCGCCACCAGGCTGGTCGGGACGAGTCCCAAAGGACCTCCATGCAGGCGCCACGCCCCCTCCAGCTGCAGGGCCTGGACCTGTTCATTACCTACCAAAGGCCTCTGGTGACTGAAGGACCCACCTCTCTTTGGAACCCATCGACAGCGATGCTCCCACTGATCCACGCCGCTGCTCCACTTCCGTTTTTGGACTTCCCTCCCCCCGCTGCTCCTCGGCCGGAACTTGCTCCCCCGCCCTCCAGGACAGTCCCGCGCCCCCCGACCGCTTGGCCGGCTTGGCCGGCTTGGCCCCAGTTTCGTTTGGCCCCGGCCACTCTTGGCGGCCACTTTTGGCGGCCCCCCCAGCGAGCCGGTGTACTCCACCGACCGTTAAAACGGCCGGCAGGACGCGAGAAGCCGTACGACCGAACGGGCGGCGCGGGGGGCGGTGCGCGGCAGGCTCATGACGGACGGGCAGGCGGACAGACAGTCAGACGGACAGACAGACAGGCACACATACGGACGGGCAGTTACGTTGATGCGGGAGTGACGGACAGTCAGTCTGCCGCCGTGCCGCTTGCTTGTTCACATTACGAACGTCGCGCATAATGTGGTTATGGCTTCTTCGAGGAAGTCAAGGAGAGGGAAAAGCGAAGGGGTTGGACGGGGGAAATCAGCAGCAGTGGGAAAGACAGACAGACACAGACAGACAGACAGACAGACAGAAAGATGAGACAGTCTGCGCGGCGGGTCGATGAGGCAAAAACCACTCAATTATTTGGCGTGCCGTGCTCTGCCCGCCCGCCGGCCGGGGGAAATCTATTCATTGCGCTGTCCACTTTGCGATAACAGCAATCCGAGTGGGCGTGGGGCGCGGAGCGTGGCGGCGGCAAAGCAGCAGGGCAGCCACCACAGCGCCGGCACCAGTGCGGCACCCTGCACCACGCAGCAGCACGCGCAAAATGAGCTATAAAGGGGCAATTAGGGCGGACGGGGTTGGCAGCCCTGTAACCTGAAGCCTTCCGCACACACACACACACACACGCACACGCGGATGTACTCACGCCACTGGCGCACCGCGCGTGCGTACACACGTGGCGGGCACGCGTGCGGTGTCCCTTGCAAGGGGTGGGCGGCCTGAATCCGGGGCGGGGCGGGGTGGGGCACCCCGCGCGCTGCCCCAGAAAATGCAGTTGCGTGTCTTGCCGATGAATTTTGGGTGTTTGGTTACGAGTCGCTCTGTGCTTGTTCTGAAGCAGGCCAGCTTACACCGTATTGGACCTGCTCCCTGTCGCCAACCGTACTCGCGCTGTGTTGTTGTGGCGCCACTGCACTGTCTTCTCTTCGGAAAAGCGTACCGTACCGTAATGCTACACCCTTCCGTGTGGCCAAGGCCTCTGCCCCGCTCGGCCCCGTGTGTAGCCTCGTTCTGTCTGTGCCCTTCCCCCTCCCCTCCCCTTCCTAGGTTGCGTCGCGACGCGCTACAGTCCGTGGGCAGCGCCGCCACCGTGCCGCCACGTCGCGTGGACACGGCGCCCTGCGACGCGTAGCGTAGGGTTTCCCTGGACAACACTCGCTGGGTTGCTGTCTGCGACCCTTCCGCTCAGGGCAGAGTACTAGTGTTTCTCATAGACTGAGTTAAAAATTCATTTATCTCTTATTCTTTTATTCTCTTCATCTCCTTTTGTTTGCTTTCGTCTTTTGGGGCAAGGAAAAAGATAACACATGGGATTTCAACTTCATATTACACACTTTATTTGTTGGCATAGTAAAATTTCTGCATTTTGATGTGAAGTAGGCTATGGTACAAAAGTCGTTAGTAACCACAGATAGTTGGAAACAATCCAAAAATAAAGACAGAATTAAAGAGCTTATTGTCCAAAAGAGTTAAAAGTTTATAAAATTTACAATGTCAATTAGGCCTTTTCGCAGCAAGTCATCTTTTTGGCATTGCAACGGAAAGCGCAAACAGCACATGTCCTACACTACAGCTGCTGTGAATAGTTTATTGCTTACAATAGCACATTTAAAAAAATCATCTGGCACATTTTGGTGGCACATTCTCCAAATTCATAAAGCAAATGACTCAGAAATTCAGTTAAAATTCCATAAGCGAATATTTTGCAACAAAAACACAAATTGATGTAGGAATGGAGTGACAAGGAAATAGCAATCATAGCAAAAAATAATCTGTCTAAAATTTTACACACAAGTTAAGCTTAGTTAAAAAAGACTGAACTCAAATCAATAACCGTTCAGCTACAAAATGCTTGAAAAGCTCAACAAAAACAAGACACGTGTTTGTAGGCCTAAGTGAAATGCTAGGCACTCCACCTTCCAAATTTTAGAATCCAAGGCACAGACTTGCGACTCTGCACCAAAGCCTTCGTCCTGCAGTTTCATGTTTACTCACTTCAGTCCAAGACTGAATCTATTAAGAACTATGTATAATATTCTGTAATACATATGTACAAATTAATGAACACCTGCAGCAATTCATTTTGTCAAACTATCAGATACACAGTGAAAATTTCTCTCAGAAGAAAAACAAAATTATATTTTAACTTAATTTGACATAAGATCGTCCATCTCTCTTTTAACATTTAAAAAAAATCACACAACACAATTTCAAAATAATTTGTTTAACATAGCGTTTATTGCGTCTAGCCCATCGCAACCAATTCAGTTGATATGTTGGCGCTGCATTAAAATTATTACTGTAATCACAAAGCTTCGGGACTTAGTCGAGAAATGACTATTTTATTTCTCGCATTTAGAAGCATAAATTAACTCTTAGATGGGGTACTTTTTTGTGCAAGAGGTTCCACAGTTCGACGCGAGCGCGGTGTCAAGTCAATGTGACCAATCCTCAGCCCTGATATGTCACAAAAAATATTGCCTAGCAATAATAACAAAGAAACATACCAAATATTGCCGTATACATGTACCTCACACGACTAATGATCTAAAAGAAAATGAAAAACAAAATTCCATCGACATGAAAAACAAACAATAAAATAATTAAAAACCCCGTTGGCGTGCAAGGCAGTGCATCGGCTCACATCGGGTCACATCGCGTCACATCGATGGGTGGCGTTATCACAGAATTCGTTTCAGAGTCCGGTTGGCCGTGGGCCCGGCGCACGCCCGGGTTGCAAGCTCTAGAAGTAGCGCAGCCCGAGCTTGCGCATCTGCCACTAGACCATCTGGTACTTGGAGTCCGTGTACTCCAGGCTGCAGTCGGCCGGCAGGCGCGGCGCGGTGGGCGACGACCCGTGGTAGCCCGCCTGGTTCATGCCGTGGTGGCCCATCTCGTAGCCCATTTGGTGGTAGCCGGGGTGCGACACCATGTGGTGCCCGCTTCCCATTTGGTGGTGCTGCGAGTACTGCGAGTTGCCCCCGAAGTAGTCCATGTTGCTGTAGTAGGGACTGTAGTTCTGGTGGCCCGCGTACCCGCTCGAGCCCGACGACCCCCAGCAGAAGGCGTTGTAGCTGAAGTCCTGCTGTTGCTGCTGCTGCTGGTGCGGCTGCTGCTGCTGCTGGTAGGCGCCGGGCGTCAGCGGGGGGCTGGGCGTCGTCATGGCCGAGCTGGCCGAGTTGGAGCCGCCCAGGGGCGTGGCGGGGCCGAGGGGGGCGCGGTGCGGCAGCACGTACTGACTGCCGGGGGACAGCTCCTTCTTGATGTTGACGGAGGCGGGCGGCGACACGGGGTGCTCGCCCAGGCCCGCCGTCAGCCCCGGCGGCGGCGACGTCTTGATCAGCTGCGACTGCAGCTTGAGCTTGACGGCGGGCGAGCACGAGTTGTGCAGCGGGTTGTTGTTGTTGTTGGCCGCCGTCGAGTTGTTGTTGTTGTTATGGCTGCTGGTGGTGCTGACCGTGTTGCTGGTGCCCGTGCTACCGCTCGTGCTGTTGGCGTTGCTGCTGCTGGTGACCCTGGAGCTGCTCGAGTTGTGGTTCTTGCCCGCGCTGCCGCCACTGCTGCTGTTGCTGCTGGACACGCTGTTGAGCGACTGCTGTTGCTGCTGCTGGAGCTGCTGCCTGCACTTGGCCCGCCGGTTCTTGAACCACACCTGGAACACAACAACGAGGCTCGGTTAGGCAACGAAGACAACACTCTGCCGGGGATCGAACCCGAGTCGGCCCAAAGAGTCCTTCGCGACGGTCACCACTGACCCCCCCCCCCCCCCCCGCTCGATAAAGAGGCCCCGGGCCCGCGGCCTTCCAGCCTTGCTTCCAGCCGGCCGCCCGGTCCAGTCGCCCCGCCGGGGAAGTCAGGGAAGTCGGCGGGGCGGGGCGTAGCGGCGCGGCGTGGCGGTCGAGGTTACGGCGTCGCGGAGAGCGCGAGGCACGGCGGCGAATTTCACGCCGAGACGCGAATCAGACGCCATGACAATCGCACGCGCAACGCCACGCCCCGACTGACCGACTGTCTGCCCGTCCGTCCGCCGCCGCGCTCGTGATCCATATGTATGACACCCAAGGTCTCGGACACGCACGACTCTCGATTCCAGAGCCGCGGCTGCCGGCCGCCATGCCGCGATCCAGAGCACGAGGCAAAGCGGCGGACGGATGGAAACAACGCGAACCATACGCGGCCGGAGGGAAGCACCACCTTCGGTTGTTTCTGGCGGCCGAAATCGGCACCGCACCGTAAACCCGCGGCCACGCGGTCATCAAAGGCGCGCTGATTGGGAGCGGCGCCGCGCGGTGGCGCTGTGGCGCTGCGGCGCTGTCGGCGCGCAGGGCCCGCGGTCGGCTCGGGCCTGGTTGGTTGGTTACGTCGTAAACGTCGGTCGCGTGCTGGGCCTGCTGGGCTGGTAATTCGGTAAAGTGCCCCGACAATGAGAGGCAATCCCGTGCCGGCCACTGCCTCGCCGTCAACTGCCCCCGTCGCTCCGTCTCCCTCGCACCCCTACGGAGCGCCCCGCGGGAGCGACAGAGAGACAGAGGCGGCGTTCGGAACCGGCCCCGCCGCCTCACAGCCTCGCCCGATAAGCCGGCGATAATTGAGATATATCCCCGGACAGTTCTCATTCCGAACACCGCCTCCTCGTGCGCCGTCTCTCTCGCGCGCCGACGCAACGCCCCGCACGAGAGCGAGGGAGGCGGCGCGACGCAACCGCGCAGTTCGGAGGCAGCCTGCCGCCGCTGCCCCCCGTTTTAATATTCAACTTGGTTTCCGAAATCACGGCAGGGTGCCCATCCCATCCCATCGCAGGGGCCGGCCAGGCATCCAGCCTGCATCCAGCCGCGGCGGACATGACGGGCCTCAAAAACGCGTCGAAAAATAAATGAATCCAGCCTGCTGTGCCGCGCGGCCCGGCAGCAGTCAGTCAGCCAGTCAGGTGGTGACGGGGCCGCGGCGGCGCGGCATGGAACGGCTGGCTGCACTGGCGCGTCCACGCCGACTGCCTGGCCGAGGCCGTGCACGCCGTGCTGCAGGGCCGCCCCGAAAAGGTGTCAGAACGCCGCGCGATAATTCAAACGCAAATAAACGCGGCGCATGATTCATCCGAGCTGCAACACCGCGGGGGGGGGGGGGCGGGGCGGCCAGCACGAGCCGGGCGTTAATTACTCTAGGGCGTTAAGCTGCCCCCTCCCCCCCTTCCCCGAGGGGGGGAACCTGCCAAACTATCGGCGCGGCGCGCGCGGCGACACCAGATTCCAGCCCCCGCCCCCTTCCCTGGGGCCCTTTGTCGTCGGCCTCCCGGACGGCCATCCGTGCGCAGGGACTTGCCAGGGACTTGCGCAGGGCGGTCATCGCCTGCATCAGGGAATGCAAAACACGCCAGCGCGGCCGATTCCGAGCCGACAGCCCCGTCGCTCCGTCTCTGTCGCGCCCAAACGGGACGGCCCGCGAGTGCGACGGAGAGGGAGAGCATGCAGGCGTCGGCGGCCAGAGGCCAGGAGGCCCAGGCGGCAATATAGTACCCGCTTATATCACGGTCTTAGCGACCGGTAGCGGCGGCCGCCACTCGCCAGCGCCGCGCAGCCGCGTACCGGTATTACAACATGCGCCAAATTCGCCATTACGTTCCGCATTTTATTTTTACCACTTTTCCCTGCCTCCCCTCGCCGCGCCGGTCGCCGCGCGGCTGCCGTCGAGCCGGCCGGGCCGACACACACGGCCCCACCGCCTCCTTTGTGTCCGAGCTGCCAGAGCTGCCGGGGTGTAAACAAGCCGCCCAGCCAGACAGCCAGGCAGCCCACCGCGCAGCCGAGGCGGCCAGCCAGCCAGGCAGCCAGCGAGCCTCCAAAAACTAGACGTCAATGCCGCGTCAAAACGCTCGGCGTCCCGCGCACCGCGCGCACGCACTCCGCGCTCTGGCCGGTGAGCGGCGCGTCCGAGCCCCGCGCGCCAACCGGGCCCGGCTAGAGCATTAGGGGGCAGATGAGCTCGGCCAGATAGCGAGGGCGGCTCATTAGACTCGGACAAAGGCAGCACGGCGAGCACGGCGACGGGGAGAAGGGCCTCGTCGAGGCCGAACGGGGAACTTGAACGCGCGCGCAACGCCCGCACCGCACCGCTGAAGTACGTACTTCTCGGCCAGACTTCGACAGCCGCGCGAAAAACAAAATAAATAAACTTTTTTTCCGACAGTGTCCTTCCGCGCTCGCGCGGTGCTCGCATCATCACTGACAGATTGCTGGTCGCGGCGATGTGCGCGGCCCTCGCGGCCCTGGCGGCGCGGCGGCCCGCTGTAGCGACCCCGCAGCATGCCCGGAGCAAGCCCGGAGCACGGGGTGCTAATCTCTCTATTATACCCGCACCCCTCCGGGACTCGGTCCGGGACTCCGGGCCGCGGCGGCCGGAGCACGCGGAGCACGGCGACGAGGACGGCAGGAGGCTCCGGCAGCCATCCCGCACATTATACACACAACAGTGTCCACCCGAAGCCGAAAAGAGCGCCGCCAAAACCGTCGCAACTGCGCGACTCGGCTTGCGAAGTTACGGCCGTGTCGCGCGGCCTGCCAAAACGTCGTGCCAAAAAGCGGCGGCAGCATACAGCGTATCGCGCACACGGGGCCGTGCGCGTGTGTGCGTGCGTGTAAATAGGCTCTCCGAGGCGTCCACACCTTCGACCTGCATATGTAGCAGCAACCCCGCGACGGCAGGACATAGGGCTCGCGCCCCGCCGCGCGGTCAGCGGCCGTTACGTGGCGGCAAACTGCAATCTGGCAAAGAGGCCCCGCGCCGCGAACGGTATATCCGCCGCGCTGTGGCGGCAGACGGGCCGCTCTGCCGCGCCGACGACGTCTTATCGGGGACGACGAGGGCCTCCTTTGTGGCGGCACGGCGGCCCGCCCGCACGCGATACATTGGCCGATGATTACTTTACACCGCCGGCAGAAGATTGGCACGCAACGGACGGGGCGGGGAGCGTGCGAAGGCGGATAGGACAGTAACAAGCACAGCGTCAGCGTGACGGCGACACTGCTGCGATTATCGGAGCGAGAGAGAGAAAGAGAGAGCGAGCGAGAGAGAGAGAAGGGGTGCATTTTCAATTCCAGAGACATAATTCAAAACAGCTTGTGTCGCCAAACCCCTCCCGCCTCTCCGTCCCGCCCCGCCCTGTCCACTCGCATGACAGCTCGCGTGTGACAAGGCGGCCAGATCCAGTCTCCCCCCCCCCCCCCCGCGAGGAAGAGGAGGCCGACGCGACCCGCAGGCCGCGCGGGGCGCAGGACCATCTCCCCGCTGCAGCGCAGTGTCGTCTGGCTGTCAGCGCCGCGTCACTACAACGCAAAGCAAACGCCAAACGAGTGCACTAAATTAATCCATCTAACTCGACGCCACATGACCAACGAAAACGACTCGCGGACGCCCGCGAGCGGCGCGACCCTAAAAAAATAAATAACAAAAGCGGGAAAAAGGATACTGTATAATCAACGCGCACCGAAACGTTGCGTTTAAAAAAAAATGGGAACTAAATTTGGGGACACTGCGAAGCTCGGAGGACACACCGACGGGCAGGCGAAAGGACGGACGGACGGACGGACTGACGGACAGACAGACAGACAGACAGACAGACACAGGCAGACAGACAGGCAGACAGACAGACAGACAGGCAGACAGACAGACAGACAGGCAGACAGACAGACAGACAGACAGACAGACGCGGGGATCCGTGACGCGCTATCGCGGCCGGCCATCGCGGCATTCAATTCGTTGGCGGCGAAAGGGGATGCAATCTGGTCATCGCACGCACTGCACTGCGAGAAGGGGGAAGGGGAGGGGGAGAGCACGCGACCCGTGTCTTCACGGTCATCGTCGCAGAAATCGAGGCGGCGCGATATGATATACCCCCAAAACCCACTGATCTGTCCCTCTCGCCCCACGAGTGAGGGAGAGAGACAGGGCGAGACATTGATGAGGGCGAAATCGGGCCGGTAAAAAGACACAGGCAAAGAAAGTGCGACAGCAAAAAGCTCACACTGCCGAGAAATTACTAACAATACTAGTCAGCGCGGTGAAAGAGGAGAGAAAAGAGAGGAGGCCGTCGTCCTCGGCGATAACAACAAGTGGCGATGATAATAATAATAACAACAATAATATTAATTTATGCGGCTGCAATGTAAAATCCGCGCGCCGTTTGTCACGCTTAGCCTCGCGGGTGCCTCGCTGCTGCAGGGCCCCAAACGGCGGCGGCGGCGGCGTGCGGGCTGCGTCGAGTGGTGGGCGGGGCCACGGCGGGGCGCGCGCCGGCCGAGGCACTGTAAGCGAGGCGCCCCCATCGAGAGCGTCGAGGGTCGAGGGCACAGCGAGATGGCGGCAGGCAGCCATGGCACGGCATCCACTGGCAGCCCCAGCCGGGATGCACCCAATTAGTGGCAAACCTCCTCCGCCCCGCCCATAACAAGCAACCCCTCCGGGGCGTGGCGGGGCGTGGCGGGGCACCATAGGACGCGCGCCGAGCGCTGCTTACGTAATTCATGGACCACTTTTCCGCCGTTTCGTTCTTTTTCTTTCCCTCCAGCGCGCCAACTCGCATGGCGGAAAGGGCGTCGTCCAAGCACTCCAACACCGCCGTGGTGCACCGGCCGGGCGTGGCTCCCTCGTGGCGTGGCGTGGCGCGCTGGTGGTAAGTATCCGTGATTTACCGAGCACTGTTTCGGCCCCAGGCCTGACGGGCTGCTGGCGGGCTGCTGGCGGGCCGGCCCCGGCCGCCCAGACCAGGCGGGCAGACAGGCCAGCCACACAAACAGGCCATAACTCAGGCATGGCGGACCACCGCGCCAGCACGCCAGCGTCCACGGCGGCCGCGGCACCACGGCGTCCACGCACTCTCGGACTAAATCCGGCACAAAGGGAGTCTCCACCAAAAGTGCATCGCATCACAAATTCACTTTTTCCACGGTGCGCGCCGCGTCGCGTCTCGTCCCCGTCTCGCGCCGGCTGTACAATGCAAGTACGCGCGCGCTAGGGTTGCCGCCCTCTAGCCCCACCAACCCCTGCGCCCCAGCGCGCCGCCATGTCCCCGAGGATGGCAACCCTACCTTCCCGCACGAGAGGAAGGCCCTTCGGGAGGTCGGTTGCCATGGCGACGGGGGCCGCCATGGCGTGGAGACGGGCCGAAGGGCCGCGACTGCCGCGACTGGCTCCACGCCTCCCTGTTTGCAGACTGCAGCCGGTACACTGTACGCGCACGCACACAATGGCCGCGAGTCGTTACTCACGCCGCGCGGACGAGCAAATAAACAAATGCGTAAACAAACACACGGGTGAATGAGTGCCAGCCGCCCAACCCTTCCCTTCCCTTCCCTTCCCGCATCCCCGGCCGGCTTCGCTGTCCGACCCAAAGAAAACAAAGAGTCCGCGCGACTCAGAAACACACCGCCTCCGTGTGACACTCACCTGCACTCTGGACTCGGGCAGGTTGATCTTGAGGGCCACCTCCTCGCGCATGAAGATGTCCGGGTACCTCGTCTTGCCGAACAGGGCCTCCAGGATGTCCAGCTGCGCCCGCGTGAAGGTGGTCCGCTCCCGCCGCTGCTTCCTCGAGTTGATGCCTGCGCAGACAGAAGCCGCATTCCAGTGACTCTCGATAACACGGCGGCACGACGGCCTCCCGCCGACTCCCAGTGGCGTGGCCGGCGCGGCCGCCCGGGGCCCTAATGTGGTGACAACGCGACGCCCCCCGCGGCCGCCGCGCCGGGCCGCCAGAGGCACCGCGGCAGCGCCGCAGCGGGGGGCAGCGCGTCCTTACCACTGTTTTACAACGAGGAAAACCGAGTGACAAAGTAGCCGTGGTTTTCGGCGGGCCTTCGCGCCTCATCGCGCGAGAGCCTTTCCAACGGGCACTGCTCCGGGCCGCCTCCATCTGCCCCCCGAGCCTCCGCCGCGTCCGCCGCGCCCCGGCCGGGCCAGGGGCACGTCTACACTAATCCCTTCAAATCCCTCCCGCCCCCTCCACGCCCCGCCGCCGGCAGCCGCGCCGCGGGCCGGGCCCGGCCGGGACCAAAGGTGTGACACTACGCTGCGATGCTCCAGAACCCCTCGGCCAGCATCACGCAAAAAAAGGAGAGTACACTCCGAAAAAAAAGAGGTGGAAATGAACTAATTCCCCGTCTAGTTGCTCCACCCCCCGCGCGTTTTAAAACGATTGACGCGGTGGACGCGCGTCGCACAGTGCGCCGCCCACGTCCAGCCAGCGCAGTGTCACCCACGTTATGCAAATGGCACCCTTTTAATTCCACAGCCAATTTTCCAGTTACCCCTCCTCCTGTCGCTCCGCGGTCGCCGCGCAGCCAGCCAGCGAGCCAGGCCAACGGAAACAGAAACAGACGCCACAACGGAACCAGCCGACTAGAAACGTTGCTGTGACTGTCGCCCCGCCTCGCCTCGCCCGCGTGCGCGGCTGTGTGTCTGCGATAGTGTGTGTGTCACGGTGTCAATAATTTCCCCCGCCCCGGCCTGCAGCTGCAACAATTATTTCACACAATGCTGCACGCCCGCCGCACGCCCAGGCGCATTCCACACTTTTTTATATCATTCCCTTAATCTCTGCCTGGACGAGGCCGCGGCGGTGACGACGACGACGTGGACGCCAGCCCGGCCTGCCCCGCCGCCAGCCAGCCGGGCAGACCGAGCAGCCAGCCAAGCCAGCCAACCAAACAGCCATGTGTGTGTATATGCACGCTATAAGCCACCCCCTCCAAGCAGGGCGAATATAATGCAAACAATATATCCATAGTGCGTTGCCCCCCTCCCCTCCGCCAACCTGAGGGTGACGTTCAGAAATTGTCCCCGCCCCACCCCGCCCCGCCCCTCCCTTTGTCCCCCCACCCCCTCCAACCCCTACGTATATATTCCAGCGCCATTTTCTCCAGCGCACCCCCTCCAGCGCGCCTCCCCTCGCGGCCGCACCTGCTCCCCCCCCCCCCCCCCCCCTCCTCCCCCCGACCACCCCTTTCAACCCAACGGCGCACACTGCAGTCTTGACTTTGCAACCCCTTTTCGGAGAATGCAGCGCACCCTCCAGCGCCGCGCCGGGCCCGCAGTCGATGGCGTAAACGGATTTACTCCAGAGAGTCCATCGGAAGCAGGAAAAGGAAACCGACCGAGGCGAGGCAGGGCAGCGGGGCGGCGGGGCGGCCAGGGCCACGTGCGCGCGGTGGGAACGCCGCACGTGTGGACGGCGCCGCGGCGCGCGGGTTTGGCGGACGCGACAACGCGACGCCGCGACGCCGCGACGCCGCCCCCACCGGCGTCAACGACAAACTCACGGGGTTGCGCACACACACGGAGGGTGACGCCGCGCAGCCCGGCTACCCTCACGAGGCCGCCAAGCTGTAGTACCTCCAGGAGCACACACACGGCCGCAGCGACACCGAGCCGCCCCCAAGGGAACAGTATACACAGGCGGCGACGGCCAGGGCCGAAAGCACAACGTTGTTGCGACAGCAGCGGCGAGGGCCGCCGGGGCCCGGGGCGCAGCAGGGCGGCGTGTTGTCAGTGAAAACACCGACCGGGGCGTATCGCCGCCGCGCACCTGCGACCTCTCCCCCGGCCGGCGAGCGTGCCGAGCGTGCCGAGCGTGCGGCTGGAGGGCCACGGCACGCTCGCCTTGTTAGCATGGGCAAACAAAGCGACCCCAAATCACACGGCGCCAGCCCCGCCAATGTAGGCCCATATTCCGTTAGCAAATTCGCGCCAGAGTCAAAGAGTGTGTACACAGTGGCGGTCACCGAGACACGTGCGACGCGCCGTCTCTCTCGCGCCCACGCCGGGACGCCCCGCTGGTGCGAGAGAGACGGGGGAGAGGAATCACTCTCCGGGGCGCCACCCTCCCGCGGCCTCGCGCCACCAGGCGCCACGCGCCCGTGTTTGCCCGCAAGCGACGTCGGCCGCGTCCCCCGCGGCGAAGTGGCGCGGAGGCCGCTCCGTCTCTCTCGCACCCGAGGGGCGAGCAGCGTGGGTGCGAGAGAGACAGCCGCATCAGCGACACTCTTCGACCACTAGGTCCCAGAAAGGCGCATCACTGGATTCATCGTTCGAAGGCAGCTGACCACCACGCGTTCGATTCGCGCCCGCTGGCTGGACGGAGCTCGTGGTGGCCTCCTCTGGGCGCCTCTAGACGCGACGCGCACCCTCGCCGCCCCCGAGCGCCCCGTGGCGACGCACTGCGACGCACCGCTAAGTGGCCGCCAGAGTATCAACACGGCGACAAGGGCGGGCAGGAGGGCGCCGAGGGGAGGGTCCGGAGGGGGTGTGGGAGCGCGCGGGGCTGGCGCGGAGGCGCTGGTGTGTTTAAAATTCAATCAACACCGAGGCGTGGCACGGCGTGGCGTGGCGCGGCGCGGCGGGCCGGGGGAGAAATCACCACAATTTCCTTTCGCCCAATAATCACTGCAAGCCGTGGGAAAGATGACGCCACGGTCCAGCTGGCCAAACGCCTCGCCTCGCATCGCAACCCCCCGCCAGCAGGGGCCGGGCGTAAGCCGCCTCCGCGACCTCCAGTTTACGCTGCAGGCTACAAGAGATTACACCTCAAAAAAATAAAGAAAGTTTCAAAAATTATCCTTTGCAAGATCGTCATTTAGGGCGACACCGGCAAACGGGTTGACCTCTACACTGTATTTAAAGTACTGCCACTCTGGAGTAAATATTTAGTTCCATTTCATAATTAGAATGTCTGTCGAGCACAGCGATTGAAAAGCTCGCAAAATAAGTAAAAGTAACCATTGTTTGGGTCAAAAGTTATGCAATTTCGGTGCCGGTCCAAACCACCCCAACTGACGGTTATTCGGCTTGCAGTCCCCTACCCGGGTAAGGGCCGTGGCGAATTGGAATAACTCGACAAGAGAGTCATCCCCTCGCTCAGCCCCACCCAGCCCCGCCCCGCCCGAGGTGCTCTTCGACCCCGTTAGCGCCGCGCGGGGTGGGTGGAGCCACGCCACTGGCAGCGCCACGCGGCGCACGCGGCACGCCCCAATGTTTCACTTATCACGCCCCTACACTGTCGCGTCGCGGGCTTGCTTTCGTTGCGGGGGCCGCGCGCAAGCCGCGCAAGCCACTGCCGCGGTCTTCCCTTTTTCATCTCCAGTGCTTTCCATCAACAAGGCCCGGGCGGGGGTGGCTTCGAAATACAAAAGCGGCCGCGTGAAAATCACTGTGTACCAGAGCGCGACAGTGGGCTTTTTAGTGCCACTGCCCGCATGCCCGCTGCGTGGGCGCCATCGCCACTAGATATGGGCCTCGGGACTGCGGAAAAAAAAGAAGAAAGGAACGACTCGCCAGAACTCTGAAATCAGAACTGTTTTCCTCCGATTCAACGAAATGAAACGCACCTTTTCTGCACTCCCCTGACGTACGTCAAGCATCATGTGGCGTCACCTCGCAGCTTCACGCCCCGCATTCTCTCCATTTTTTTCCTTGTTTTTTTTTCGCCTCTCGCCGCAATGTTGCTTTTTTCCCCCAGTGTTTTCTCTCTTTTCTTTCGCTCCGTTTTCCCCCCTGCTACTACTCCATTTTGCCGACACGGTATTCCTTTTTAGAGGGCGGCGCGCGGCGCATCCAAGGCAGCAGTGCAGCAGCAGCGCCGTGAAGCGTCGCAGAATGCACCTCGAGACGAGGCGGCCGGGCCTGATGGACCGATTTCGCGGAAGGTGCGAACAGTCTCGTAACACTAAACCACACGCCCAATTATCTGCCACAGCTATCTCCTTGAAAAGGAGCCAGGGCTGCACTTCCCCGCCCGCACACGGCCCGCGCACTCACCAGGTAGATCATATTCTCCCTCGTTTGGCCCAAACCGGCCCCTTTGTGCACGCATGCGGTGCACACACGCGGGGTGCGGTTTGGGGCGGGGACCCCGAACGGACCCCTGACGGACCCCGCGCACCAGCAACGCGAACGTATACGGTGTAGGGCCGCTAAAAAGCGAAGCCCGACGCACGGCCGCTGGGAGGACCCCTTTCGAGTCGGCAAGCCAGCGGCGTGAACCCGGGCGCGCAGGGCAGCCTTTATACGCCGTGCATTGCCAGACAATGAGCATATTTCGATAACACAGCAGCCTATACAGCCAGGCACTTTGGACATAAGAATGTCTCGAAAAAACAGACCCGACAACAATACGTTTTTTTTTTTACAATTATCATTTTATTTTTCCCTATTGCTTTTAATTTCACGAACTTTTTTTTTCGTGTTGCAGAAAATGCGAAAGTTACAAGTTTTCCCTTTCGACGGCTGTATACCAGGAAGGCGGTGCCTTCCGAGACGCGCGGGGCGTGTGCGGCGAAGCGTGCTGGAACTTGGGGCAACTTGGGGACGAGCAGCGCTTCCAGGAAGGCCCGCGCCAGGGCACTGCCAGGGCCAGCACCGGGGCCAACGCCAGGGCCGCAGCATTGCGTCGACACGGCGCAGCCAACCGGCAGCATGCTTATCAGCAAGGCCCCGGCGCGGCCCTGGCCCACGCCACACGCCCAGGGCCGCCACATTTCGACATTGGAATAAGAACAACACGCGGCCGTGGCGCCAGGGGCTGCCAGAGGGCCAGGACGCGCGTGGAGGGGCGGAGGAGCGCGTTCGAAACGCCTGCAGTGCCGGCGCGGACGGCGCGGACGCAGCGCCGAGGTGTCAAGTTCACCCCGCGCAGGGCCTGCAGGTCTTGCAGGGGGCCGGCGCGCTAGCGCCACCGCGCCACCGGGGCCAGGGGTGCCAACCACGGCGCCCTCTAGGGTTTGGATAATCGATAGGGGAACGGGGGCGTGCAGCGCCGCGTCGCTACGCCACCGAGCCAGCTCGGCCAGCCCGGCTCCCCGCGCTTCGCTCCGCGTAGCTTCGCTTGGCCATGCAGTTGGACGACTCTTGTTTTGCTTACCGAGAAAGAACTTACCGGGCGGGAAGCCCATGCCAGACTCGATGTGATGCTGCAGCCCGAAGGGGCCGCCCAGGCTGGGCACCGGGGGGTGCGGGTGGAAGGGGTGCGGGGGCAGGGGCGCCTTGAGGTACCCTGCCATCGTGCCCAGGTGTCGTGACAGCTCCAGGGCGGGGCCGGACACGCCGCACTGCAAAACCAGAAGAGAGAGAAAGGGTTAGCCGGCGGTGCGACAAGGAGAACACAAAGAGGAATGAAGACACCCAGGGGGCGGGGTGTAGGGCGAGTCACTCTCCGGCGGCGGCACCGTCGCCGTCGTCCGGGACTCCGGCCCGGCAGGACGGTTCCGGACAGTCGCCACGTCGCTCTGTCTGTCTCGCACCCCTACAGCACGTCCTGTAAGAGTGAGAGAGCCAGAGAAGCACAGTCCGGAATCAGCCTGCCGCCCCCCTCCCGGCCAGACAAAGCAATCCGCTACACTGTTTTGGGTGTGCGCGCCGCGACGCCGCGGTGCCGCGGCGCTGCCTGCCCGTCTGTCTATACCGGCCGCGCCTGGCTGGATAGAAAGGGATAGAGCGCGGCGGCCATTCGCGGACAGTGTTGCCAACTGTACGGCGCCGCGACGGCCGGCATGGCCGCCAACGGAGCCAGATTTCACCTGGCCGGGCCGCCGCCAGCTCCGCCAGCTCGCCGCGACCAATACACCGCAATCCATCCCGTCCAGAGGCTCCAACGCCGACCGCGCCACCGCGTGCTCGAACGCTTCGTCGACACGTTTATGCATCGCTCGCCTCTTTGGCGCAGACGACGTACAGCTCGCTGCCAACCCCACTGCCAAGCGGCACGGCCCTCCACTGTTGCTCTGCATTACGTCATATTTACACCCCGGAAAAGCGGGCCGCCCGCTCCGTGCTATTTGATTTGACAAGCACGGCGGAGACGCCGAGCACTCCAAGCAAGCATCGCGCCGCAGCGCCGCGCCTCCCGTAATCCAATAGGATGACGCCCCGCGGCGCCCCGCGGCGCCCCGCCACGCCCCGCCACGCCCGCAGTGCGAGCAACAAGTCAAGTGGCGCCGATAAGCCAATTACCCTTATCGGCAGCAAACGCTCTTTATTCGCAGCGCAGCGGGCAGTGCACTGCTAATGGGCCGCCAGTCCCGGCGGACGAGACATTTGAGGCCCACGAGAGTACACCCTAAGGAGCTCGAAACGAGCGCGGACTTGAATAAATGTGACATTTGGCAAAACTTTGGGGCGCAGCGAGGCAGGGTAGCATCAAGGCCACAGTAACGTTTCTATACCTGTCGAGGACCCACACACACGCACACACACACACTCATGGCAGTCGAATCAAAACAGAGGACGGCAAACGGGCCCCTAAAACACACACACACACACGCACACTTGACAAGAATCCGCCCACAAAAACATCACCACAGCCGCGTCCGTGGTCCCACTTCGAGGCCTTCCAGGAGGGAGGACGGGACGGACCCGCCGCGCGGAAAAGGAGAGCACCATGACGACGACGGCCAGGAGGGCGAGGAGGGCGACGAGATGGACAGCGGCGAGAGATATGGGGAATTTCTCACGAACCGGCCGCCGTCTGATCAATCTCTGGCCGGGCCGGTCGGACTCCAGCGCTCCGGCCGAGGCCCCAGCGCTCCCACGCAGTCCGTGCACCTCGCCTAATGGCCGGTGGAGGGGCGCGGACGCGACACCGCCCCGCCAGGCCCCGCCACCCCCCGCCACGCCCCGCCAGGCGGCCCCCGGGCCCGCGGGGCGCCCGCCATGCCCGTCTGGACGCGGGCCCCCGCGCAACACGGCGGTGCGTACCGACCAAAAAACATCGGAAGACATCTTTCAGGCGGCAAAATGGAGCGCTGCAGTTTTGAGGAGCACTGCACCGAGCGCAGCGTCCCGGTCGGTCCAGCGCACAGTGGGCCAGAAGACCGGAGGCGGCTAAAATTCTAGACGCGTTTCGAGCTCCGCAGAGTCGCCAAACAGGACCCGAGCCGAACGTCTGACCCCACCCATGGATTCCTCGTTCGGAAAGCAATCGATTGGTGGGGTCACACGTTGGGTTCGAGTCCCATTTAGCGACTTCGCAGCTCCAAACGCGTCTAGAATTCTGGCCGCCTCCACCCACCGGTCTTCTGGCCCACTGTGCGGCGGTGTGGTTCGGCCTGGTCCAGCCCACAGCGTGTTGACAGCGCGCAGAATGGCCAGGTAATTTCGGCGCGCATTCATCCCCCGTCGTGTTGTTGGCAGCCATCAATTGGCAATGCGGCGCGGTGCGGCGCGCGGCCAGACAAATTGTATGCGTGTTGCTCGCCCCCGTCGACGCCGTGCCCAGCCGCCCAGCCGTGCCCCGCCAGGCGTGCAATGCAAAACTCTTTTTCTTCTGGCCGGGCCTGGCGGGGCGCGGGGCCCTGCCCGCCTGCCCTGCCTGGCCGCCACCGTGCTCGCAGATTCCACGAAAACGCACAATTCGGCGGGAGTTCCCATTTCGAAGGGGGAGGGGGCAGTTTGTCGGAAACCTTTACAACAGTGGCAATTGGCATTTCCCACCCGGAAAAACGGACAATATAAAGTCATCTTTAAAATTCATGTTCCAAGGACACAACACAAGAAAAACAAATACTCAAAGAGATCTAATCTGCGCGGGTTGTATGTACCGAGTGATACAGAGAGAACTTGCCACGTGCTTGCGGGTTGGCGGGTTCGAAACCAGAGAAATCTCGGCGCTCTTTTCCCGGCCGCTCGTTTGTTCCTTCGGCTCCCTTTGTGGCAGTGTGGCGGCGACATCTTCATTACCAGTGTGGACGCCAGCGACGCCCGGCGGACGGGCCGGCCAATCAATGGCGGCGTCTTGTCACAATACAAACAGGAAGCAGCGCGACAAACGCCGCGCCGCCGACTCTCGGAAGAGGACAACGAGAGCGAAAAGCCCGACGCGGGCGGCGGAGGCGGCGAAGGCGGCGACCCGGGTGATCCGCGCGGCTGAGCCGGATGTAATGCCCAGCACACTTGCCGGAGCCCAGCAGCCCCTCTGTCTCTCTCGCACCCCCGCGGAACATGCGGAGAGTGCGAGAGAGACCGCGGCAGCCTTACGCCCCGCCGACTTTCAGGATTTTCAGTGTAAGGGCGACTGCGCTGGGTCATTCCCCGGGTCGCTTTGCTTCGAGGCCCGAGACGCTTTAGTCACTTGCTCGACAGATCAAAAATAAAATTTTGAAACCCGAAGTCTCTTGAATTGCGTAGGCTGAAAGACACTACAGAAGACCTCTCGCTCAGTCAAGCCTCGGATCACAGTCAAAGCCTGAGCGAGTGAAACTACCGTTTACCGAAATGGCCGTTTTGAACTGCGTTGAAACTGTCGAGGCCCTGACGCGCACCTTGGGCCGGGCGAGGCGGGCGAGACGGCGGGCCGTTCAAAAAGGCCGCGCGTTATCGACGCGTTGCCAGGCGTTGCTGGCGTTGCCATGGCGACCGACGGCCTTATCTCCATCCGGAGCGACACTGATGGATCTCGCCACTCAGCGCGTGCAGCGGCAGCGCGGCAGCCGCACCAACCAGCCACCCGAATCAAACAAGGCACTCCCGAAAAACACCAACGCCAAGCCGGGGGGAAACCTTGTCGCCTTGTCCGGGCTACTGTTGGCTGGCTACCGGGCGGCAACCGAAAACCAGACCGGGCCCGCGGTGGGGATCGAACCCGCCACGCAGAGAAACAGACGAGTCCGCAGGGCGGTTTCACTGCCAGGCCACTGTTCGCAGGTCGCTTGGCCCAATTAACACTACAGCAATGCTGTCGGCGCGGTCCCACGGCCTCGGCGTGGTGATTCACCCGCCGCGTTTTGCCCGCATTTGGGCCGCATTTTGCACGGTACATTCCAGCGTCATTCCGGCCGAGGCAGCGGCCTGGCAGCGGCCGTGCCGTTCCCACAGTGCAGGTGTCGTCGGACAATGACTGCCGCCGTATAACACTTGCCGTTCTCACCTCACCCCCGGGCCGGGCCTCGGCCAAGGCAGCACCAAGGCCGCGCCAAGGCCGTGCCAACGAGCGGAAAATGACACCAGTTATTACGGGGCTGTTCGACAAGAGACGAGGGCCGCGCCAAATTCGGGGCTGGAAAACTACCCGTCCCGATTACGCCGAAAGCGAGCCGGCCGTTCCGCGGAACGCCGCCGCCAGCACGGCCCCGTCGACGCGGCCGAGGCCGTGGCCCCGTGCCCCCCGTGCCGCGGTCGTGCCGCCCCCCGCCCAGCGCGCGTGCGTGCGTGTATGTGCGGCGACAGCGCTCCCCGCGGCTCCCCGCGGCGGGGGCGTGCGCTTCGGCCACCGCAGCGGCTCACGGACAACCTTCAATGCGGCCCTGCAGGCCCTGCAGGCCCCGCTCCCCGCCAGGACGGCCCTTTACAAGTTCCGGTGGGAAATATATGGCCCGGTCCGGGCGGCGCGGGGGGTGCGGGGCGCGGGGCGCGGTCGGACCACCCCGCCCAGGTAGGAGCCGCGTAACTGCGGCGCGGCCCCGCGGCAGATGCACCGGTTCGTCGGCGGCCAGGTGGGCGTGGGGACACCGGCCCCCAAGGGCCACCGTGGACCCGGACTCATCCGAATGCACCATCACGGAGACGGCCCCGTAACAACGCAACAGCCGTGGCGGCGTGGCCCCGGCGTGGCCCAGGAATGCCGCGCCGACGCCCCGTCAGCTGGACAACGGCCGGGCAGCCAGCGCGGCGAGGGCGGGGGTAGCATGCCTCGGGAACCCCGGGTCGAGGAAGGACCGCGAGGACCGCGAGGACGGCGACAACCGCCCTTCGCTTCGCTGGCTTCGAGCCGTACTTCGAAAGAGTGCCGCCCTCCGGTGTCGCATTCTCGCCCTCACGGTCCCCATCGCCACCCAACAGGAGCATTTTTAATATCGGCTCCCCCAACGGCGGTCTAAGCAACATCCACGGCGGGTTCGTTCGCCTTCCGAGACGACTTCGACGTCGTCCTCTGGGGCGTCCCCAGCGCGCGCGGCGCTCTGCGCTTCGCGGAAACATCAACGCACGAGCGCGGCGAAAGTGCGTCCTGGCGCACTCGGCACGCCTGCTGGCCGACGACGACGGCGACGGCGGTAACTGGCCCCGTCAGCAAGCAATTTTACAGGCAATAACACATGTAAATATTGCACCGGTAACTGCACTGCAAAAGTGCACCGTGCAAATCACACGGGCCTCCGCGCGTCGTTCGACGCCTGGACGCGAAAACTCGGCCGGGAACACCTCGATTGCGACGACGGCGACGTCGAAGTTGACAGGCGAGGATTCGTCACGAGCGAGAGGCAAAACGAGGCCGTCTCGGCGTGGAGTAATCCAGCAGCCGGGAGGGCAACGACGGGTGCAAGAGCGAACCCAAGTTGTTCAGCAAGCGGCAAGGACGTCCGAACTCGACTGCCTCCACGCCGGGGACGTCCACGTCGTCTGCGACGCGCTGGCCGGCCCGCGCAGGGATGTCGTGGTGACAACATCACGCTGCGTGCTCACTCCAGGCCCAGCACAGTGACACCACACTGGCAAACTCACCTGACGAATTAGTCCGTACGAAGCAATCGCAGCAGGCGCGGCAGGCGGCGGGGCGTTCCGCACACCCGGGTAGCGGCGCTACCAGAGCGCGGCTCCACAACAAGCAGGCCCTGCTGGCGCACCAGCGTCAGCCCGGCATTCACTGCCAACCACACTTTTCCCCAACAAAAAAAACCACTGGCGAACTTGTTGCAAGCCCACAACAAACACACTTTGAAGCACTTCACACACTATCCACACGGCGGCGGGGCGCGGCGGGGCGCGGCGTGGCGTGCGGGGCGTCTTCCAGGGGTGCTGGCACTGCGGGGGCGGCGGGGGAGGGGCCGCGGGGCGCCGCGGGGGTGGGGGCGGTCGGGTGGCGCAGGGTGGCACAGCGACGACGGGCGGCACACGCACACGCTCTCGTCTCCCCGGCGGAGGCTGTTTCGATACTGACTGACCCGTGCGCCGCGCGGCCGCCGCGCGAGCGAGCGGAGCGCGCAGCAGCCGGCCCGCCCCTCCCCCGCCCCCTTCCCTCCCGCCCGCCGCTGCCCGGGGCGGGGCGGAGCGCGGCCGCCATTGGCTGTCGCTGCCGTCGCTGCCGTCGCTCGACTTCCCCCTCCCACCGAGGCGGCGGCTCGGCGGCGGCGGGCGGCGCGGCAGCAGTAGCGGACCGGTTGGGACGGGGGGCGAAGGGAAGGCGGGCACAGCGCTGGCTGGCCTGGCTGCCGGTTGCCGCCCTGGCAGAACTGGCAGCACGTTCACCAGCCGGCCAGCTACAAAACAAATAATGGTGACAGATATTTTTTTTCGACTTTTTAATACGATTTTTTTTGTCTTTCTTTCGTTGTTTTAATAAATTTTCGGACCGCTCCGCTGCCGCACGCCTGCCGCCGGTCCTGTCCGCGTGCGTGTGGATGTGTGAGTGCGTGTGCGTGTGGTCCGCCCGTTTGCGTGACAACCAATACGGGCGACCCCGACGTTTAAATTGGTGCGATCGGATTAACGTTGTGTGTCTTCCCGCTGGCGAAAGGGTTTAAAAATGGGTCCGAAATTCGCATTAACCCGTTTTCTTTCTCTTTGTTCCAGGACGCCGCTCATTGACCGCGCTTCGGTACGTATCCATCGAAATCCACAAGGCCCACTCGTTATCCGTCAAAGATTTTCCTCTTCTCTTTTTGTACAATCAAGAAAACTGGGCACGTTTCACTTTTCCCGTACTTTTCAACTTCGTTCGTGCCTGTCGAGGAAAAGAGAAAAGTTGGACAGTCACCGTACGTCTGCCTGCCTGCTGCCTGGCTGCCTGGCGGGGCGGGCCTGCCACCGCGGTGATGCACTTCTCTTTTTGTGTTCCTCCCCTTTCCAGAAAAGTTGGCTGCTCCGTGCAGCGAAAAGTAATGGCAACAGTCTGAAGGAGGGAGCCGAGTCCCTGCGTCCCTGCAGGATCGGCGGCCGGGACCGGGAGGACCGGGACCCCGCGCACCGCGGACGCAATGCTCTGGAAGGGGCTCGACGCGGGGGGGGGGGGGGGGGGACGTAGCGTGCTGCGGCTGCGCGCCAACATGGAGGCCGAGACGAGCCATAGGCAGTTTTATTCTGTTCCAGTGGGGTGTTTCTTTTTTTTGCAGATGACTCACGCGCAATTTTGGCCGTATTTACCAGTACGTAGCAAGGACCAGTTCATCAACTTGTTTGCAGTCTGCACGTAAGCGTCGCGTATGCACGCGATCGTAATAAACACTTTTCTCTGAACGAGACGTTGCCCTCCGCGAGCTGCGGTGTCCAAACGAGATCATTTCCCAGCGATTTCACGCGCCCAGCCACCACACTGTACACAAGTACACATACGCGCAGCACCCGTTCGCAGTGCCGGCGGTCGAAATGCAGTAAGCCGCGCGTGTGATGGCTAAGCACTGTTTAAGCACTTTAGTCTTTATTGACGCGCTGAGGACGAGGTAAAACATCGGGAGCACGACGCGGCGGCGAGTGCGAGGGAGAAGGGGCGAGCGAGAGGTTCCGGCCGCCGCGAGCGCGACGGAGACGGAAAGACTGCTCGCGCCGCGATATGCCTCGGGGGATAAGCTCGCCATCACCTGCCCCAAAGCTGATTACCTCAGCAGCTCGCGCTCCGCATCGCGCGCATCGCGCGTCGCGTGTGTCCTATTCTAAGCCGGCATCACGCCGCATCATCGCCGACGAGCATCGCTAAGCGCGGCGCTGAGCGCGCCAGCCGTGTCGCCAAAGTGTGGTGGCTCTATAAGCGAAAGCGGGGGCAAAGTGGGTGCCGTCGTACACGCACTCACTCACTCACACGCTCACTCACACACACATACTCACACACAGACACAGCAAGGCCCGGCACCGACCGCACTGACCGCAACACTGGCCGGCAAGTAGTAGCTCTCCGAACGAGGTATGCAAACCTTTCTCTCGGTTTCGCGGGCGGCCAGGGCGGGCTGACGACGCAGTCGCACGGCATTCTCGCCATAAAACGCGACCAGTGCACTGTGATCTGGACTGCAGAGCCGTAACGCGACATGCGCGGCGCGAAGCCATGACTTTCCCCCAGAGAGTCGCGGCAACGTTCCACACGGCGCAGTTGGGCAACGCGCGGCAGCGCGCCCGGGGGAGGGGGAGGGGAGGGGTGCTAGACTGGCGTGGGGAATCCCAGCTCAACCCTATACCTACCTGGGACACTGCGAGCCGCAACGCCAGCCGCAACGCCAGCCGTACAAATGAAATTACAAAAGCCTCTCCACCCATGGCTGTGACCATGAGGGAATTTACCAAAATACGGTGCGGTTCTCAGCAAGATGGGACACAGAGCAAAACTGCCGCCAAAAAAATCGACGCTGCGGACAGGATTCGAACCTGCGCGGGCAGAGCCTAATGGATTTCAAGTCCATCTCCTTAACCACTCGGACACCGCAGCTTACAGGTGGCGTGGTTCTCAGCAAGATGTTGATGGGACACAGAGCAGAACTGCCGCCAAAAAAATCGACGCTGCGGACAGGATTCGAACCTGCGCGGGCAGAGCCCAATGAATTTCAGGTCCATCTCCTTAACCACTCGGACACCGCAGCTTGCTTGAGTACAGCGGTTCTCAGCAAGATGTTGTTGGAACACAGAGCAAAACTGTCGCAAAAAAAAAAAAATTCGACGCTGCGGACAGGATTCGAACCTGCGCGGGCAGGGCCCAATGGATTTCAAGTCCATCTCCTTAACCACTCGGACACCGCAGCTCTTGCGAGAGCTGCGTGCCTTCTTTTCGTCGCATTTCAGTAGGGGTCTGCCCAGCAGTCTCGTCCACGGAGACGGGGGCGCCGTCCCCGTGCACCTTGCGTGCCAAGAAGAGAGAGAGAAAAAGAGAGAGAGGGGCGGCAGGGCGGGCCTTTCCGCAGCCACTCAGGACTGTTGTAATCGCGAGGAAAAACACACGGCCTGCAGTTCCGAGTACACTAGTAAATCGTCGGGGAGCGCTGGCGGCCCAGCAGGCAGAGGAGCAACTGCCGAACTTGACTTTTGTGCGTCAAGAATTACGATTAGATCGAGGCGGAATTTGTCGGGCAAATAATCTGAGCTCGGATAAACCGCGACAATTCGGAGCTTAGCCCGGCTCCGACTGTCCATTGAAAGGGATCCGTCACCGCGCCGCGGGCAGGCGGACGGGCAGGAAGACGGACTGCTGCTAGAGCGTGGTGCACTCGTGCCGTGTAACTCTAGAGCGCGTGGGGCGCGGTGTGGCGCGGCGTGGCGTGGCGTGGCGCTACTGGGAAGCACCGCAAGCGCCCTTGCGCACTACGGCACGGCGGCTCGGCGGACGGGCCCAGGGCTGGACAGTACCAGTCCGACCGGAGCCGTGCTTTTCACGCCCGCAGCGGCACGGCACGCATAACGCACGGCCCCTGGGGGTGCCATTTCTCATACTACCGCTGCCTTGTCTTTGTCTCGTCGGAGTGCAGTATTCGCAATTAGTCGGTGGCTTCTGGCTTGGGGATGATCGCGATGATCTGCAGCGCGGCCACCGCAGCGGCCGGCCAGCCTCGCAGCCAGCCAGCCGGCCAGCCTGCCGGCCAGCATGAGAGACATGAGAGCGGCCAGGCGATACGATCGCAGATGCAAAGCACCGCCGCGAGCCAACCGACCGGCCGGCCGGCCAGTCGTGTCCCCAAGCGGCAAGCCAAGCGGCCAGCGGCCCAGCGCCAGCCACCTGGAAAAAGGCCCTCGTCTTGTTTTATTTACTTTACATCTTTTTCGCATATCTGCTATACTTCTCTCAGCTGATTTTCAAAGAAATTTTCCGGGGTGATTTCGGTTTCGTCTTTCAAACTTCGGCACTTTCCGTTTTTTTTTTTTTTTTTTTTTCGAAAAACGAAGCTTGCCACTGTTGCGGGTGGAGTCTGAGTCGTTGAACCGGCAGCCGGGGCGGGCTTAGCCGGCGGTGGTCGCGCGGCCTGCCGAGCAGCCACGACGTGCACAGCCCACGGTGGAGCCCCACGGCCCCGCGGGGCGCCCTCGCGGCACTCGGTCCGCGCAAACAACCGCGACACTGCTTCGCCGATAACGCGGAAAAGAGTACTTCTCGCCCCGAAGGATGCAGTGTACTAGTTTTCTGGTGTGTCGCCGCGAGTGCGCGCGCGAGGACCGGCGAAAGGGCCTTACTGCGCGCGGGCCTTACGCCCCGGGGCCCCGGCCGGGTTGCCCAGGATTTGGGGTTCCACGAAGGCACTGCCAGTGCAGGGCGCGCAGCACGGCGTACAGTCCGGCCAGGAGGAAAAGGTGCGCGCGAGGCGGGGCGGGGCGGGGCGGGAACACGGCGCACTACTACAGGGCGGAGCACGGATGGGATTTACGCAAACGGGGTGGTTGCACCCCCTCAAAAAAGATCGAAATCAAAGTCGAACTCGCGCCCTACTGGCGTCAGCAAGTCCTGCGCATAGTTTGCGGTGCGGTGGCCCGGCGGTCCGACGGGGGAAGTTGGAAGTCGGTGTGCCCGCGGTGATCGGCCGACTGCTGACCGCATGATCCCGGCCTGGGGCTGCGCTGGCCGCGCGGGCCGCGAGGCCACAGTGTGCCGCCACACCGCCCTGCGCCGCGCTGCACCCCACGCCTCTCCATTTCTCTAAAACAAGGCAGATACGATCGGCGAAATGGATCCAACGCCACCGCAGTGGCCCGCCCGGCCCCGCTCGGCCCCGCCGCCCGAATGCCTCGGGTACTCTGCCGGCATTGCCACTCGGAAACCACGATGCAGTACGCGAGGGAGGACCTTTGCAGTTTGGGATTCAGCAGAGTCGTTTCCCAAAATGCACCACGAG